ATTTTGGAAGGGTCAATGAACCTTAGGAATTTAGAGTTAGATTTTGCTCAACAAAATTGATGGAAATCGATGTTTTAAATGCAAAGAATAGGCTCTTTTCTAGGTACATTTAAATATTAGTGGGCAAATTTCCGCCCTTGTCTTATGGAATATATTTCAAGACTCACCAGAATAACTGAATCTCATCGTTTTTTGTATACTACTGTTTGAGCTTAAAGGATCCAAGCTTTTATCTCTATCTTCTATTCACATTTTGAAGTTTTGCTTTATATAATAATAACGATCGCTATCTGACAGGAGACAATTTAGTTTGATAGATTTCATTTCATATTTTAGTACTCATATATATCAGGGTATTAAAGTATTTCATAACTGTTGGCGTTTGTAGAAGTAAATACCATGGAAAAAATAAGGATCTTTCAAGTCCAGCTATTTGCTGGTTACTCAAACAAAACTTTTAAAATTTACGGAGATATAAGTGATACCTCTGAAATTGTTGGTCTAAAAAGTCATTTCAGGCACACTTAATATGCTGCCTACGACAGGCGGCCAACCAACAATTCCTCCACTAATTGTTTCACACACCACATCAGCTAATTTGTTTACATTGAGGCCATTGCTTCCCCTTGCTAACTCAGCAGAACACGTACGTTTTTTGGGATTTTTTTCGAAATAAATCTTTTTTATTTTTGAAAAAAACTTTCAGTTTTATGTAATTCTATGGAAATATTTTTAGATATCGGATGTTCACTACCGAATACGTCGAAATGCTATTGGTTGTCCAAGACCTCTGTTTTCTGATATGGGTAAGTAGTGAACATATAAGACTAAGCAATTTATTTTCTTTTAATGTGTGATCATAGTTAAGAACTCATTGAAAATATTGTAATGAGTATGAAGTTACTTAGAAAGACACCAATGGTCATCAGCATCAGCAGTCGATAGATCGCAGTTTGTAAGACCACCAGGAAATAAGAACAGCCGATCATTACCCAGTCTGAGAGATATCTCTCGTTCCACTGCAAAGCAGGTTATTTTTATTAGTTTTAACGCCACAAATCTCTGAGAATCCTTATGCATTTTGTTTCACTGCTGCTGTCATGAATTCATACCCGAAAAGCCGTTTAATTATTTTTTATCTCAGTTAACTAGTTTTTTAGAATTTATACGCACGAGAAGTTGGGGCATCTGATGGTACTATTTGTACGTCAGTGTCGGATAGTAGGATATCCACCGTGGAATCAGTAAATGTCAGCGATGATGATTTCAAGTAGGTAAATGGTTACATCATTAGGTTCTAGATTTTTGATATTTTGATGAAAATCCTCTCTTATGATTTATTTTTGGAAAAGAATTACAGAATTTTATTTAGATTTTTTGTTTTTAGCTGTGTTGGTAATGAAGAAAAGCATGGAGAACAGAAGAGTGATAATTGTAACACTACAAAGAGACGACATAGAAAACGAAAGCGTGAACAGTTTAGTAGCGGTGAAAGTGAATCTGAGCAAAGTAATCTTTATCATTCTTGTTAATTTTTTGATTGAGAGAAGTTAAAGGGAATATTAGGGAATTTAGATCATAATATTGCAGTAAATGAATATAGAATAAATTGGAATAATTATGATAAAAATAAATGTATGAAGTAAATATTAAGTGCCAAAAATAATGAAATGTTTCTTATAATTATTTATGTCATAATTTATGTGCTTCAAAATTGTCTAGATAAGGATGTCCCTCGGTGGCAGAAGCTAACAAAAGAAGACTTTGTTGACACAATATTAAGCGACACTGATGAAGAAATTGACCAGATTGAACAGACGGTCGCAATGAGTGGGTTCCATTCGCAGAGCATTCCTGACGACAAATTTTATTACATTGTATGTAGTTGCTTCACTTTTATTGTAATTCTGTTAAAAACCTTGCTTTTTCCAATTTTTTTTTTACAAAAATTGCTTTTATGAACTGTTTGCTGCATTGCTTCTAACTTCACGTTTACAGAACGATATTGGTAATAGCTATGCAACAGAAGAATTAAAAAAGCTGCATAATAGATTCAGAAAAGAGATTATAGAAAAAATCGCGAAGGAAAAGGAAGATCAACCAAAATGCGACCCTCCTGATATTCTTGCATTTCATGATAACTGCAAATGTAAAATGCGCTTGTTATACTGTTTTAATTTTCTTTTATAAAAAGCACGGGAAAAAAGATTTTGAGTTGTTATGAGTTTATTGGATAGGATATTTGCTCCTAAAATTTTTCAGAGAAAAGAATATAAAGAGAATCTTATTGCACTTTAGGTGGTCATCATTCGGATACTGAAACTGAATCAGAAAGTTGTGATTCTGATGAGTGCATCGATGATAGTGATGAAAGGAGTGGCAGTGTATCTGTCGACGAACAACAGACTGATAATAAAGACAAAATTATTCGTGTTAAAATGAGTGAATCCAAAAAACATAGCACTGTTGCTAAACGAGAGGTTAATTTGTTTATAGCTTTTATAAATTTTCTGTAAACATTGAGAATATTTGTTGCTTGAGAGCAGCAATATTCATTGCAGGTCTTTAGAAAACGTAACCATCCAGCTGTTCTACACAGTGATGTTTGCTTCAATGAAGTTGGTCAGATGAACGATGGGCCGGAGTGTCGCTGTTCGTGGGCAGCTAAAAAATCTGGCTTACGACATAATAAATATGCTGGAGAGACTGTCATTGAGAAATGCGACCTGAACTCTAGGTCTTTTTGATTGTCCACTTTTTTTTGCGTATAAATTTTTCGAGTATAAAAAGAATCTTGCTAGCTGTAGACAGGAGTGGAATTTGATATCGTTGAAATGCTTAATAGTGACTGCATTTAAAAGTTATTTATTTTTTAGCAATTCGCATCGTTTATGGCACTATATACTTTATACTGAACCTAATCCAAACACTCTTGTACGCCGTTCAACAAAAATCAACTACTGTGATAAAAGTTATGAGCTGGAAGGGTTTTCTGTATTTTTTCATAAGTCACTTCCATCGAATTTTCCCCAGTCACCGTTGTCAAAATGGACAAGTGATTATAATATCAAATTTATGGAAGAAAATATTCCAACGGTTATTTTTTGTTGATATATTTTATGCCTGAATCTATCTATTTTTCACCTATATTTTCATCCCTCCAATGATTTTGATTTTTTAAGTGGTTTCTATGGAGAATTCTGCGCAAAATTTGAAGCTGATATTTTATTGAAATAAAAAAAAAAGTACTAAAGGGATCTGAACTTCTTTCATCGAGTTTTCTATTTTTCGAAAGTTTTACAGAATTTTACAATAGAAGATCTGGAATTATTCCATCATTATTTGTTTACCGATATTATGGAAATGTATGATTTGAAAAAATATCCTCTTGATAATACTGATGGTTGTCCATACTACCACTGTATGCCGAGATTTGTTTGTAACCTTCCAGGTCATTGCTTCTTCCTTTCTTGCATTTTTTTATCGCTATTTATTTAAGGCTCGTCTGTTTGAAATTTCTCTGTGCAATTTTTGCAACAATAATTTTGATATGATATTTTCCAGGTGGTGGGAAGGAGATATTACCAATGTCTGTCGTAATGTCTTACTTGATTGAAAGCTATCATCGTCTCGTAACAGAATCAGAAGCTCAGGTTCTTAAACAAAATGTTGATGCTTTTCGCGAATTTGCTGAAAACATGCGTGGTTCTTTGGTTATGAATGCAAATAAGGTAAATCAATTGTCCACAAATGGCATAAAATTTATAATTTTTCCTAAAATCATTTTATGTTCGAATTACTTTCTTTCAGAGGCCATCAACAATCCGAGTAGATCTTATTGATAGGCCCGATTTTTTGCCCAACAATTCGGATAATCTCTTTCCGTTGATTACTCACTTTGGTGTGAGGCCTTCTTCTCATACTTACAATTCGAATACAGAGTAAGTGATTTCTCGATGGTCAATGTTCTCCAGTTAATCCGGAATTCAAATTTTTTGAATAGAAATCTTACACAATTTGTATGAACTTAGCTATTTCAGGTATCAAAAAATGTCGAAAGAATACTTGCGGATGCGCAAAATTCTTGCAATGAAGCCACGTGTAAGTGCGGAGGAGCGAGGAAAGCTTGCGCAAAAAGCTTCACAATTAAAAGCATTGCGTAATGACAGGTAGTTTACTCTTCTGCTTCTTTTCTTTCTTTTGAGTATTCTTAGCTGCTAGTTGTTTGAATTGGTTCGACATTTTTGAAATATTCAGGCATATTGTTTTCAGCATGTTTACTTTCAATTTTTGCAGTTTAAATTAATTCAAATGAGTGAAAATGATATTAGGAACAATTTTTATCATTTTTTTAGTTTTATGATTTATGTACACTTATTTTATTTTTTGTACACTTTGAAAGCTTTTTTATTTTTTTTACTTTTCAGTCAGCTGAAACGTGATTTTGTTATGTCGGTATCATCTCGCGATTTCTATAGTACAGGACTATTTCCTGATATTGTACAGGTATGTTTGCAGTATTTAACTAAGTCTGTATTTGTTAAAGTATTCAGGTTGTAATGTTTTCAGCATGGTTTACTCCTAATTCTTGCCTGTGCGCATGTGCGTTTTCAATGGTCTCTAGAAGTATACGAACAAGAACGCATTTGCTATGTTTTTAAGGTTTTTCATTTTTTTTTATTTTTGCTTGAATAATGATGATTCGAATTGTACTACTTGTTTTCTCTAATAATAGTCACTTTAATGCAAACAAAGAGAAAAAATATCTCAATTTAGCTTGCAGAACCGTTCACTTTTGGAGCTAGCATTGACCCATCCATCATATCGTACTAATTATGGTACTAATAGTGATCATGCTCGTAATACTCTTAACAATTGTGGTGTGCGTTCTTCCAAGCAGCGAGTACATGATCGTTTGGTACAGCAGCAGTTAAGTGCTAAAAAGCGAGGTATTTGTATTTTGAAAATCGCTAAAAATTTCGCAGTGTTTTTTGTTGTACTGATGATTCTACAGATCGAGTTACGGATGCATTGTGGAGGCTGTATTGAGTCCTTTTAATTTTAGGGTTTCATACTTTAATGGAAATCATGTCAAAATTGGGTTCAAGAAAAGCAGAACAGTCACCATTGAATCATAACGAACGGCTGGAATTTTTGGGCGATGCTGTTATTGAATTTATTACCACTATCCATTTATTTTATATGTTCAGTGATCTTGATGAAGGTGGTTTGGCCACTTATCGTTCGACAATGGTTCAAAATAAAAATCTTGCTGTGCTCGCTAAGGTTTTTTTGAATTTTCGGAATGTTCAAAAGCAGCAGTAATGCTTTGTATGGTGCTGAACACAGATTCGTTGCTATCTGTTCATAGTGTATGTTTGAGTTCTGAGAGAAACTTTTTAGAAAATAGGTCTGGACGAGTTCATGTTGTATGCGCATGGACCCGATTTATGCCATGAATCTGATCTTAGGCATGCGATGGCAAATGCTTTTGAGGCAATGATGGCTGCAATTTATCTTGATGCTGGAATCGATGAATGTGATAGGTTCGTCACTTTATTAGATATTTTACAACTGTCACTAATTTCTTGGTAGTTTTCCTTAATTAATTGAATTTTTTAAGAATTTTTGGTCGCGCTATGTTTTCTGATTCGGAGGAATTGCTTTCTACATGGTTTAATTTGGAGGATCATCCCTTAAAGGTATATCGGATTCATTTTTTAATTTGAAAATTTTCTTTTGGAAAATAGTCATTTTTTTTATTTTATTCTTACAAAAGAAAAGTTTTCAGAGTCAATGTTCGGCGTTAAGATTTTTGTAGTGATATAAGAATTCTTTTGGATTTAAAATGAACTGGTCTCTTAAAAAAAATTAAAGCCAAAACATTAATTTAAAAAATATTTTCCTTGAGTAAGAATAAAATAAGAATTGTTTCAAAAAATAGTGACAACGTCTTTCTCTTTTTTAGAGAATTTCATCAATTTCCATGAATTTTTGCTGTCTTCAAAACATCAGTTTTGATTTTCAGCGAGATAATCCAAATGGAGATCGTCATTTGATAAATGATGTACCAGCGCTTCAGCTGCTGACAGAATTGGAAAAAAGTATCGGAGTTACTTTTAAACATATAAGAGTGCTTGCTAAAGCTTTCACTAGAAGGAATATTGGCTTCAATAACCTCACTCTGTGAGTACTTTCACTTCCATAATATTTTTAAAAGAGTCAAAGTTGGATCTCGTGCAAAAATGATCAGTATGAATTAGAATTCATATAAATATTTTAAAATATTTTTATGCAATATTTTCAAAAATATCATAATTGGATTTCATGCAACATTGATTAGTGTGAATTAGAATTCATGTAAATTTTGTGGAATCTTCTAGAGGACACAATCAACGTCTGGAATTTCTTGGGGATACGGTTCTGCAATTAATAACAACAGATTATCTTTATAAGCATTTTCCATACCATCATGAAGGTCATTTGTCAATATTGCGCACTTGTTTGGTTAGCAACAGAGTAAGTTCCAAACAGTAGTCCTGAGCTTTCAATTTTTTTGTACATAAACGATTTTGACAATTTGCCTTTTTTGTGGGAAAAAGAGTTAGTCACTTGTCTTGATTTATTAGTTAAGTTTGTATCTATACCATGTTTTTTCTATTTTAAAATCATGAATTCAATATGTTTCATTGTAGTTATCATAAAAGTTAATATTATCATACATACGTCTACAGCATAATTCTCCTGGTGGATTTCAGAACATTCTGGAAGCTTAAATAATTTGAGCATATCACTCGTATAAGTAATACGGTTATATGCTCAAATGCCATTAATCCAATTTGTCAAGAAGAGATTTCCAGACACAATCCGTGATTTGCGATGATATTGGCATGACGAAGTATTTGGTTACACCAAAAGTTATGCAGAAAGGTGGGCTACCAGTATTGAGAGTGAAAGACAAAGCGGATCTTGTTGAAGGTATGTCCTCTACATATAATGAATCACGTAGATCTATTGATCATAAGTAAAGCTGATTTATTATGAAGTTGTTGATGAATAATATATAACAGCTGAATAACGTTATCCGAATAACGTATTCATATTCATTCGGTGTTTGAGGGACTGGGTCCAAAAATTTTTGAATTTCCTTTTCTGATATTGTTGTTTGTTAGTCGAAAAGTACAGTTGCTGGGTCCTTTTCTGACATTGTTGTTTGTTAGCCGAAAAGTACAATTTTTGGGTACCGTCACTGATTATTTTCTATTTAGCATTTCTTGGTGCTCTTTACGTTGATCGTGGATTTGACTACTGCAAAGTTTTCTGTAGAATTTGTTTCTTCCCTCGTTTAAAAGTATGTTTTGATGCATCTTTATGTGTTTTACTATAAACGAAGCTAATATAGTCATTTATTTGTCTATTTTTTAGGTAATTTTTTTCTGCAGGTGTTGAAATAATTTGTAAACAGCAGTGATTGGTATTTTTATTCATTTTGTATTTGTAATGAAAAAGATGGAGGTTGACCAGTCATCATTTGCAGTTTTTTATTATTGCCCAGCACTGGAATGATCCGAAATCACAGTTGCAACAATGTTGTTTAACTCTACGGCAAATGGATGGTGGCGAGCCAGATATACCGGAATATAGGACAATAGCTGTTGAAGGTCCGACTAATACAAGAGTATATAAGGTTGCCGTTTATTTCAGGTAATGGCATGGAGTTTATTTCCATCTGTATAGTGATATATTCATAAATCTGATGATTTTTAATTTCTTATTATGAAACTATTTTTTTAGTTTTCTCAAATCAAAAAATTGCGGCCTGTATTCACTGCTACCTTTATTATTTAAAGGCATTTGACAGTGTTGCTGCACTTTTTTTTGAATTCCATTATTTATTTAGACTTGTTAAGTTTTCTTAACTCTATTAATGTTGATTCCGATATAGAAATTTATCCGTACTTGTAATAATTCATATTTTTTCGAGGTGTTTCGAATTTTGAGCTCGAACTTTTGTTAATCGAAATAAGCACTACTATAGTCAACATATTTTTGGCATTACTTTTGTATAAGTCTAGTAATTTGGATTACGCAGACTTGATATGTATCATTGTTAGTTGTATTTCAGAAAAAAACGATTAGCAGTAGGGTGCGGACATACAATGCAATTAGCTCAAATGCATGCCGCGGAGAATGCTTTAATAAAAAGATCTGATCTCTTCCCAACGCTGAAAAATACAGCAAAACACGGTGCAGTGCAAAGCAAACGTGATAATGACTCAATCGTCAAAGTGTAGTCTCCCTTATTTGTTTTCTTTTTGTTTTTCCTATTGTATTTGAAATTTGATGAATATATTATTTTTATGTGAATTATGGAGCATTTCACTTCGGGTTTTTACTTAAACTATTTCCAATTCAATGCAGACTGAGTCAGAATAACCTGGAGTGATGGTGATTTCTAATTATATAATTATTTTTAAGGAAATGCGAGCCAACTGATCGGGCAAAACAACGTACCTCGTTTGATTCAACTCATGTTTTGCAACCAGATACTGGATCATCACTCATCGATGATAGTCAGACTTCTAGGCCACAGATCGTTTCATTGCTTGATCTCAAGTTCGATGCTGACGGTTGCCTTATTTAGCTTCGTTGCTTTTGAAAATATATAAAAGATTGTTAGGTTTCAATGCCTCTTTGTGCTTTATAAAAATTTCATAATTTAGGTCACTTTAACTTTAGTTCTTAGCATTTTTATCAGTATTTAGAAGTAAGTTATGCACCTTTTTTATTAGAGTTTTATTTTGCTGTCTTGATTTTCTCTTATATGCTACCCATTTCAAAATAAAGTTCATAAAATTCTGAATTTATGCGTTTTCTTTTTAGCCGTTAAAAATTAGACGTTTTGCATCGCTACTATGTTCTTTTGTTGTAGAAATGTTTCTGTATAATTTATCACAATATCACTGTGATAGAATAGATATCGTTGTTTTCTTATTTCTCATTTGTTACAGCATGTAAAAAAAAATATTATAGCGAGGATATATAAACATAGTGAAGTTCATTTATTGTTGAATAACATTACATTTTTTACTTTTTTGATTGTTTTATGACGGTTCGGAGATAAACAATTTTTATTTGTTCTTTTTTTTAATTCATGGTTATTTAAGCAGTGGCTGTGCTACTCATTAAAAAAAAATTTAGTATTTTAATCTCTGTAGTCAAATAGTTCGACACAACACTGTTGTCGGTTGTAGTGAACATCGGAATTTTAAACTCGCAAATTTCGTAATTGTATTCACTTACGGCGAAGGAAAGGTATATAAGCTGGGATTTATTATAGTATTCTTTTTCAAATGTGTTTTATCATTTGCAACATGAAGTATTATATTTGACAAGTTGCACTTCGGTATTGAGTTATTTTTATTTTCCGAATTGAAACTTGCCGAGGGGGCAGTAATTCTTTATTTCAAAGGTCTGAAAATAATTTATTGGTTGTAAGTATGTTTAGTGTTTAATTTTGCTTTTTTTCAGTTCCGAATGTTTGACAATATTCTCGACATATAACCTGAACGATGTTCACAGCAGCAAGAGCCTGCGCCGCCACATCGTATTTGCTTTTCTCTTTATTTTTGTTTGAGCTGCGAAATACCTTTCGCAGTCCTATTTAATACGTCGAGTATTTTACTGACTAAGTAATAAACATTACTTTTATCTCCGAGTAACGTCGTTTCTTACCGCATCTCATTGAAAACACTTCTCTTTTAGGCTATGCAGGAAGAGAATTACAGAAAGCATGAGAAAGCAGACCACCGTTTCTATCAACCAGAATATTAGTGAAGTAGTGGGACCTTCCATATTAACTACAAATTCATTGGTGCGTATGATTTTTTAATAATGTTTATTTTCAACTTAAACCAACATTTAAATTTTTGCAAAATGTGTTACCAGATATCTTTAGGAATCTGACGATTCAAAATGGCCACTAAATTCTTTGGATAAGTTGCATCATTCTCAAATGAGTTACTTGGAGTTAAGCCTTTTCAAAAAACATATCAAGCGTTTGCAAGTCGACCAACAGAAAGACATTTACGATGTCATCGACAGGTATCATAATTGAGCTTATAAGTTCACTTTTTCGAAAGATTGCTGAGAAAAAAAATTTTTTCAGTATCTTTCGTTATCTCTTTTTCGATCCATTCAGGAAAGCTGAAGTTTCATTAAATGTTTCTGCGGCTACCTTTTGAACACTCAGCTAAATTAGACATCCGACAGCATTGTTAAATTAAATCCTGAGTTTTTCGTAAAAAATGTTTTAAAAAAATAAAAAAAAACTTTCTTTTATATTTCTCATTCTGCTTCATTAAAAAAATCATATATTTTCCGATATTCATAATTTTAATTTATCAGTATTGAATGGAATCACTTGGTAACAGAAGCGCATCTTGAGAAAGCACTGAATACGCTGAATGATCTTAAATGTAATGTCAAGGGATTGATTGATTCAGAAATTGCTATTCTTATAAGCGCTACTGGATGTCGATGTCAAATGTTATCCGCGGCACAAAGGAACGAATATGCTAGTCGTTTACTTCATATACTTAAAATGAGAGGTTGGTTTACCAAAACTTTATTAATTTTATTATATTAAATTCTATTTGAATTTAAAACGAATTTTAAGAATTATCGAAATGTTATAATTTTACTGCCCACACTTTTGATTATTCTATAATTTTTTCGAACTTTTCATTACTCANTTTTGTGTGGATTTCATATAAATCGAGGATCAGGAGTTNAAAAATTCCAAAAAGACATCCATGTAATTACGTGCTTATTCGCTAATATTTGAGTTTAGGTGAAGGAAGATTCTGAGATTTAAAAATTTCTTGACTATTGTTTAGAACTTTTCGGGAGAAATCAATATGTTTATAGGTGTTGTGCTAGGCACTGCTGCTCGAAATGCTTTGCTTGCTGCTCAGATTGATAACCATGTAGACGTTGGTGTAGTAGAAACACTGAAGCAGTTCGAGTCAGATGGACTTGTTCCTGACGCTCAAACATATGGCCAGCTTTCGCGAATTTATGCGCGAAAGGCCGATTTAAAAAGAATAATGTGATTTTGTTTGTTAAATGATCTTTTTTTCTTGCGTTCGTTATATTAGCTTCACCTTGAAAATTGTTTACAATTGAGCTAACTGTGATTTTTGCTATATGAACTGATGGGCACTAATGGGATAAGCTTTCTTTCGACTTACACCACCTGACAACTCTCATATTTATTCACACTTATTCAATTGAATCTTGTGGCTTAAGATTCTTAAAATTTAAAGTTCCCATAATCTCACTCTTGGTGGTTTGCTGACAAGCAAGTTCCTATATATTCCAAGGAAATTTTTTGTGTCTTGAAAAGCTCATTTATTTGCTTAGTGTCGAGATTGTTTATTAACGTATAGTTGCAATTTCATTTTCAGTGAAATAATTAATCATGTTAGATATATTGGAATAGAACTGCCGAGTGAGGTACTTGAATCTATAGTTTATAGTTTGGCGAGCTTAGGACAGGATGAGAAGGCGAAGTCAATTATTGAAGTAAGCATTTTTCATGAAAAGTAACATTTCCCATGTCTTTATTTCTAATTTTTAATAAGGTTTTGTCTTAAAAAGGATCTCAGTATATCATTTTTCTTTGTATTTAATATATTTCCTGATTTTCAGCATGTTTTTAATAATATACCATTGGCAGATAATTTGAAAATGGCTTATACATTGGCGAAAGCCGAACACTTTGATGGTGTGAATGTTTTAGAGGTCAGAAGCAGATAAATTCTATGCATCTTTTAGTTTACTTATCTCTATGACATAATAATCAATATTGAAGATATCTCACTCATAAGTCGCAGAGTTTTTTCAGTTCCTGGATAAGATTGCGAATGTTAATACTTTTATAGAGAAATACCAGATTTCAATATATGAATTATTGTTTTCTCTTGCCAGAAAAGGGAACTTGGACGCAATTATAAAGGTATGCACATGTTATTGCTCTGAAAATGTTTTTTAACACTAGAAAGCATGAACCAGACGTGCTTTTACTTTTTATTTAATTTTTACTAAATTTAATTTTCATTTCTAACTAGTTTCATTTTTAGCTAACAAGCATTTTACCGCCCTTATCCAAAAGTATGGACAAGCAGTATGAGTCCATAATTTGCAGTAAAATCCGCAGATTTTTAAGTAAGGAAGAACAGAATATTGTAGCAGCCGCGATATTGCTTGATCTAATTCCAAACATTGAAAAGCGGTTTGTTTATTTTGCTTTTTTCTAATATTCACTGATTATTTGTTGAATTTAGTTCTTTACATTTCTGAAGTCAAAAAAAAAAAATAGAGATGAAATATACCACTCAATTCCATGGTTTGTTAATTGGTAGTTTAATAAACTTGATATGTATTTAGTATTTCATATTTGGTTTTACCAGCTTTTTTTTGTCTATTCGTTATCTTCTATCAAATTAAAAACCATGTAATTAAGTGCATATCTCATTATATTGACTTTGGATTAGTATGTATCAAGTTCTTAAATTTTTAAAGTTGTCATTATGGATATAAATAATGAAGCAATTGTAATATGAAGCTATTAAATCATTTGTCATCTTCTACCTTTCTTCTTTAAGGTCAAAATTTCGATCTATTCTAACGAGGCAATTCTTATCGACTATTCAAAATAAGAAGATTACAGAAGCTGTAAGAGTGTGCACAGTCTTCCAGAAATGCAATATTTTGAAGTAAATGCTTTTTTTGACTTTCACTTGTAATTTCTTCAAATAAAATTTATTTGAAAAAATTAAATTACAGGCATCCACTCCGTATTTATTTACACAGCGTAGCTTTAAATAATCCCAAGAACTTCCACGATCTTTTTGCAATTTACAAGCGAACCGATGATTTTGTAGAACTTCAAAATCGCCCCCACTTACAGCTTCCTATCGCAGTACGACATTTCAATGAGGTGATTATCGAAATTTTACTTAAAAATTAAGAGACATTGTGCTAATGCTATTAAAGTAACTTTTATCGGAAAAAGAAATTGAGCAGAGTTCAATCGGAAGTATTTAATTCTATCGTTGCCATATTTTTAATTTGACGCATAAGTATGATTCTGTATTAATACAGTTCATCAATATAAAATGAAGTTTAGTTGGTAACTTATAGGAGAATTTTCCTGATTGATGACAAGTCATTGAAACGACCATTATGACTTAATAAATTTTAATATATTTATAACTTTTTTCATTTTTCTGTTGGAATATATGATTGAAACTGTTAGTTACAAATGTGATTATTTTGGACTTCAGTATTCAGTTAACATTCTTGTGTTTGAATGAATTGTTTTTTCTCATCGTTTTGCAAATTTCGACTTTTTTCAGTTGATGAAGGCTGATACAAAAGAGAAGAAAGTTGAGCATTTGTTAGAGATTGCACGTTCCCTCCAGAGCACTGGAATTACATCTTGCGGTGAGAAATATTTTACGAATGTGAAAGAGTTGTTTATTGTACCGCTTCTGAAAGGTAATACCTCATTTATTATTGTTGAGTCAGCTCATTTATTATTGTTGAGTTTTCAGTACTTGCATTCAAGCAGCACTTGGAGTATATATTGTCTTCTTCTTTTTCCATGATAAAATTAATTTGGGTACTTAAAATATTTCATTACAGCTTATGATTGTCCAACCCGCTAATATCTTAGGAATGTCTTCTGAACAACTAAAGACTTCTGCAAAATCCATTAAAAAGACATTTTAAAGTTGTAATTTTGCGCATAGTAATGAATTGCGGTAATAAACTGCATTAATTATTGATTTGAGATATGAACTTTCTGTCGCAGTTGATGAAAAAAATTGAAAATGAGAGCTCGCTGCAGTGTTTTGTGGTTGACATTCTTATTACTCATCTAATGGCAACAAAACAAATGCATCAACTTCAGCTATTATTACAAGGGTAAGTAGTGCAGATTGATTAATATGTTATTGTGCACATTAGTTATTATTTCATTTTTTGTCATGTTTCATTCTCTTTTCTTCATTTTAAGGACTTTGAAGAATTCTTTGGCGGGAGAGACATATCCATATCGAGAAGTGAAAAATTTTATTCTCAATACATCAGTTAAGAACAAAAGCCTTGTTCCAGTCTGCCGTCTTTTGCGGCTGCTTTTTCCGCGTAAGTTCATTTTGCGTTACCATTTTTTTCTTCGGCTTTTCAGTAGTTTTGTAAGTCTCTGCTAAATTTCATTTAATGATAACTGTTTCATTTTTAGCAACTTCAATTATTTTAGTACCCGGTATAAATAATAATTGTCAATATGAAAAAGGAATGCAAATAATCAAATCGGCCGTCATTGCTGGTGATTTGAATAAAGTTAAAATGATGTGTGAATTATGGTCTACTGATAAACGAATTGTTCTTCGAAAAAGCGACAAGGAAGATCTTTTAAAAACTCTTGATTGGAATGGTGAATCATCAAAGAAACAATTTGTAAATACATTATCAGAAATGGTAAAGCTACATTCGTAGTTTCAGTGTTTTCTTTTAGTCATTTATTTTTACAGTTTCTCAGACTAAAATTGCGTAGGTTTTTTTTCAACAAAGTTCGACAGCACATAAAATTTGGATTTTTAGGGATCACCTCTGGATACAAAAGTTCAAAGAAAACATTGCACGAATGAAAAATTAAGCAAATTAAACAAGGTAATCTTTTCTCTCGATGTATATCAAAATTTTTTAATTTTGCTGCATGGCAGTTGATTTACTTATTTGAGAATGGCATTTTTCATTCAAAATTTACTCACTTTAAATCAATTTTTGTGCTTCTATTGAGATATAAACTTTTTGAATTGCAGATTTCAGCAGGCCGTGGTGTTAGGCAAAAGCCTATAGGAAAAGCAGAAAGTGCGAATCGAAAACGCATGGAAATGGAATTGCAGAATGCGCTTGATTGTGGTGATTTGAAAAAGGCAAAAGAAATTTGGATTATGGGGTAATTTGTTCACTTCGGTTTGATCTCATTTCGTAAGTTTAATGCAAATATCGAAATGGCCAAACTTGGATTTCCAAGCTGTTCAGTCACTTTGTTCTTCATTATTGAATTAATTACAACGCAAGGAAATTTTATATATTGATTTTGCTTTTATTAGTCCTTATCTACTCTCAGTTCAGTAAAGTGTTTGATATTCTGAAATAAAATTTGTTGCTTATAGGCCAGAGTATATATCTCCATCTAAAGGGTTATTATTGGCTGAGAAACTATATTTTTCAAAAATGATGGATCAATTCAAATCCGTTCTTTTGAAACTCAACGAACTTCATGAAGATCTTTCTTATCACGTTCTTACTGCTGTTAGATTTTCTTGTTTCTTTTTATAATCGCAACAAATCTCTTGCAGAAACTGTCGTTAATAACAGCTAGTTTTTTAACTAGCAAGTATATTCGTTTATTCATAGGTTGTCTCGATCTTTTTTCAATTGAGTTATTAACAATTCTGAGTAAAGTACCTGTGTTACTATTTCTTTCTTTGCTTCTGCAGTACGATTCATCGGATGCGTCACATGTGCGAATGGTGTTCCTAGACAAAACGAGTAAGATACTGGGCCTGCACTTAAATATTAAGCAGGAGCTTTTATATAACACACGAGTTAATGCATTCCACGAATTAATTGAAAAGTGAGTTTTTCGAAGCTTATATCAATTTGATGTAAGCAAACGTGCAGCTTTCTTTAATTGAAGATGCCGATATATCTTTGAATACCTTCTTTTTGTGAGAAAGATTGAAATTTCAAGAGACATGGTGTGATCAAATCTTGAGAAGTGATTTTTTTTGCAGAGGTAATCTTAGTCATGCTCTTGATTTGTTAAAAATAATCAGTGCTCAAAAAAATTCGGTATATGGTCAGTTTGATTTGATGGGTGCAGCAATCGAAAGGGATGACACAACGATTATTTCTGAAGGTAGTTTTTTATTCTTTTTGTGAAAATATTTGACTGTTTCACTTGTCTCTGCTTTATTTTTATCATTGTCTTTTTTACTATTCCAATAAAATTATTAAATGACGTTTAACTATTTCTTCCAGTAATTAATTTGATTGCAACGTATCATGGCAAGGAATCATCCTTGGCTGACTTTTGTGTTGCTTTGTTAGAGCATAATAAAAAAATGCATGCAGTGCGACTGGTACAGGTAAACAATATTTCGATGCGCTGTTAGATTATAGCGGAACATATAGGAAATATCTCACTATTTCATATCGTAGATTTACTATCACTAAATAGCTGTAACTATTTTTACATTTTTTTAAGTGGAAATCGCAAAAGGACATAGTATTTTGATTTATGAATTTATCTAAACATCTTACTCTGAATTATTTTTCAGAGTAGTAGTTTCCGACTTTCTGGTGCGAAGCTTAATTATTATATTGACCGGGAAATCGATCTAGGCCGGGTTTGCTTTTTTTTTTGAAATTCAACTTTATTTTTTCATGCCAACTTTCTAATTAAATCTTTCTTCGAATAAAATAAATATTGCAGGTGGAAGTAATTCTTAATTTATTCGAATTATGTATTCGTAAAAAAAATCTGGAACAACGAGATTTGGAAAATGCTGTATCCAAGATAGTCAATTTCTATGGTAATATATTTTTATATTCTAATTTGGGTAAAATGTTTTATAGTTAAACTCGTTGTGACTGAAGTGCGCATTATAGTTCATCATTCGGATATTATCCAAGTCATTGAATAAATCATACGTGTTTATATTGCAGTTAAGCGAAAAAATGAAGCGATTATTAACTTAATTGAAGAGAGATTAAAAGATATTGGTATACGTTTGACTCCAGGAATGAATTCATTATTGTTGAAATCGAAAGGACAAAATTTTGACGTCACTTATGATGATAATGTGTCAATTCCGTGATTTTAAATAGTCGAAACAAAATGTTTTTCAACTTCTCTACTATCAGTTATCTAACTGAAAATCATAATTGTTGACAATGCTGAGGATTTTATATGCTGGAGTCTGCTAATGTCTCTTTCAGATTATGTATATCTTAATGGCATCATTATACTTAGAAAAGGAAATCATGCTCTTAAATCTTTTAATCTAATTTGTTGTTGTAATTCCTTTTAAGTCGTTGCTTTGTCCGTAAGTTTTTTTATTCTTCAGATGCTTTTTTTGCTGTTTTTATTTATAAATTTAAATGAATAAAAAATTGTTTTGTTATCTAAACTTTGGAATAGAGAAAATGCTTCTTGTGACATTTGGAGTAGTTTTTTTTATTCGTTCGCGAGGAATCATTTATTAGTTTGGAGGGCGTGATTGTCAAATTTTGCACTGCCACGAACGGTTTTAGATTTTGAAAATCTAATAGTGAAAAACAATGCATATTTTTTTAGAATTCCTTGAGACGATTTAGATTTTATTTGGAAGGAATGGTATCAAAATTGCTTTAATGGCACGAAATTTGGTGAAATTCAATCAAATCTCAAAATTTTCTTTCCCACTTCAATGTTCGATTTTGAGAAATATATATTGTATTTCTGCGGTCCATTTCGAAAGAACATTGTGTTCTCAAACATGGCCAAGTGAAATGACTCGTGTTCGGTGGAGAAAGCGCAATTGGAGTCCTGATGTGAGCAATTTTAAATTATGGAATTATAGTTTCAACTGTCGAACGATCAAATAATGGATGATCGAAAACTCCTAAAATAACCACTCACTTTACCTGTATGTTAAGTCTACAAGATATTTTTTACGCCAAACCAAATAATTATTTCAAAATATATTCATAGGTGATGCCTTTGTTATCCTAGTGCAGTGAACGTCCAGTTTTTCAAGCGTTTTCTTGGAAATAAAGATCATTGCAAATGCTTATATTTATTTTCAATACAATAATGAATTTCAGCCTGTGCTGCTGAATACATTCAATGATATTACAAAAGGAAGTCGTTCGTTTACCGCACTTGAGGCGCAAAGAGCCATAAAACATTTTAATGATTTGTAAGTTTTTTGTAATTCTCCTTGTTGCACAAGGAACAGAACTGATAATTCGCAGTTCTGTTCTTTGTGCATAAGTGTTTTATTGAAAATTGTTGCAGCACCGCGAAAGGAAAAGTGCCTGATTATATGGCTGTCAAGATGGCATCAATTGCAACAATTCATCTTGGCTGGGAAGAAGGCGAAAAAATTCTGGAAATGCATTATATGTCCCATGGTGCGGAATTAAGATTTGGTTTGTCATTTTTTTGTTTAAATCAAGCTTTTTAATTCTTTTTTTCTTTGTATTTATTTTATTGCTAATAATTTCTTGATTTATAATCAGTTACTGTTATGATTATTTGGCAATAATTTTGTACATTAGCTGGAGAAGCCTCAATAATGGATAAACAGGTGGAAGGAGCTATACATCGAATTTTCGATAACATAAGTGAAAACGCATATAAACTAGCTCATCAGTTCTACTGTCGTCTTATTGATTTGAAGTTTTGTAAAGTGAAAGATTGTGTTTTACGAATCTTCATACAAGATTTACTCAAGAAGTAAGTTTCATTATTCTGATTTTCTAAATGTTTCATATCTTATACTGATATTCTGATGATGCAGTGTTAAATACAAATGATCGGCTTAAATACACATGTAGAACTTGCATATATACATATGATATGTGCAGCTGATCCTTTGTTTAATTCACTTTTCTTGCGTTTTTCAATTATACTCTTCATTCCTTTCATCCATCGATGAATCATTATCTCTTTTTCTTGTTTCCATTTAGTTCTTTATTAAACATTTCTGATTATCAGTCATAATATTTGACTCTTCAAATTCTTCCTTTTTTTTGGCTCCATAAATTTTGTTTGCGCTTTTTTTTTATCGGTCGTTCGTAGATACGGACGTTTTCAATAATTCATCGTGTTTGGCTTTCCATTTTTCCGCTTTGGCTCTTCTAGTGTTTATTTATACTTTTGCATTATTTAACTGCTTGTTTATTGTTTAATTTCTCAAAAAAATATCTTGTTCACTTATTTTAACAGTTAGATACAAAAGTGGTGCTTTGGTGAGTAAGAACCATGCAAGTGGCACCAGTATGTGCGCTCAGGCTTGCTCAAATAGCACTAGCCTTAATTATGAGAATGAAGAATGATTATTGATAGCCGTGTCTGAAACTATCTGAAATTCGTAATCAAAATTTGAATTGGAGCGAGAATTTTGAAATGAATATCACTGACCTGATATGTGGTGCAGTGTAGAGATTCGGCAATATATAATATTCTTGCCCCGTTGCCCAGTTCATCAACAGTAATGTGGTGCAGAAAATAGTGTTAAGCACTTTTTTCGTGAGGGAATTCGTGAGCCCCTGTGAAATGATTACAAGAATTTGTTTCATCAAACTCTCGTTTTTATAATTATAATAATGATGAAAATTGGTAAGGAACACTTCCTTAATGGACTAATCCACAAGCCGTTACTCCATAATTTGGTGAAATAACAACATGGGACAATACACGTAAAGGAAGCGACCTTTACATCTCCATTTGTCTCATCTTTTCTTCTATCTTTATTTCCTTATTCTTAATTTCCCTTTCATGGAAGCGATGAAAATATAAATAGCACATTGAAAAAGACTTAAATTCATATAAATAGTCTCTTTAATGAAATATGAAATTTACCTGATGACCTCTAATGATAAGATCAGTGTCCAGTTTTTGTTGAAATTCTTCTGTTGCTTGCTTTCCGAAAAGCTAAATATCCCTTTATTTAATATGTTGTAGAAATAATTTACAACTGTTATTTTATCTCTCGAGATTACCAATTCTGTATTTGTGAAATAACTTCACTTAATCTTCCAAATGTTCATTGTTAGCTACATCTATCGCTGTTCATATAATGTCAGTTCTAGTAATAGCCTTAGTGAAAATACTATAGCATCTATGAGATACCTTGTGGATTTTGAATATATTTTCCGGGGAGTTTACCAGGATCAGCCCATATGAGATCATTAACGAATCCAATATCAGTAACATCTGTTGATCTGCATATTCGTCTGAATTGATTCCAGTGAAGATCTTCCAAAATTCTTCCATGTGCTGCGAATATGCTTCCGCCAATCAGCGCTGCGAATGGCATACAATTGAAGACTTGAATTTTTCTTGACTTTTTATTCCTTTGATTTTTTCATGAAGTGTCTGTAAGATTTAGCTCAACTATACAGCAAGTTTAGTTATCTACCGATCTCGCAGATTTTGATTTGATTGTCAAAAGCCATAATTTGAAGGTATTAGTCCTTTTTTCTTAATTTAATCATTGGATGCCAACTTTTCACGAAGAATTTTGCTAATTTATCTAATAGGTTTCTCAAATGTGTCTTAATAGATATGTCAAAAAAAGTTATTAAAAAGAATAGCGAACATGTTGATATAATGTCCAGAACTGAGTTTTATTATTCTTTTCCGGAAATCGTTGTAGTCATTCCTCAAATAAGCCATATACCTGTTCATATCGCATGTCTCATGGTTGCCACGTAACATATAAAGGTGTTTCGGGTAATGAACCTAAGTACCATTCAAAACTAGTAATTTCAAGTCAAGAAGAAATTTTTAGAAATTCGTATTCGTTATTAAATAACATCTGCAAATGATATGCCTATTGATACATGTAATTTGGATTGGAATACCTTGTACGCTATCAATAGTGAAGCAGTTTCAGGACTCCATTATCCCCGATCCACGTAATCACCTATGAATAAATAACTTTTACGTGGTGGTATACGATTTTTGAGATCATTTTCACCAAATCCTAGAAAACAGTGTTGTGTTAATTCTGTCTTCATATGTAGAGAATGAAACAAATTTCAGATTAAGATAGGAAAGTAAATGAATAACCATGTATATCACCGAGAATATAAATAGGTGGATCTATATGAAGCAGCGTTTTTTCCATTCTGAACACTTCCCTACATCGCAGACATACCTCATGTATTTCCGATAATGTTATCATTGAATTCATATTATTTTCAGGAGCTGTCAAGAGCTTCTGTAATTTACAGGAATTTTTAGCTCCATCAAGTATCCAAACTCTAGAGTTTATTGAGTATTGAGTGATATACTCATATTAGAATACTCATACAAGGAATAAATTTTCAGAGTTCAATTTATCGTGATTATTATTGATCTGCTTGCACAGTAAGTCAGGAAATTTATTATCTCGGGAAGGTGCTCGAAGTCGTTTTTTCCTCGCTTTCTTGGATTTCAGTTCTTTTCTTGTAAAAAACCAATTGATCGCATCATAATAATTTCCAAATATTAGCTTTTTATTTTTTTCCCAACTGCATTTAGTGGAAATTAAAATTAATCTCATATAACAGAAGTTAAAATTAGTCACACGTCTTAAAAATACATTTGGCCTATACCGCAATGAATTTCTCTAGGAATTTCCATACTTTCGTTCTGCGTTTCAGTGATGTACCATCGGAATGCCTCACTGTTCCTAAAGGTATTTCTATGAATTGTCCACTTTTGTCAACACATTTATGTAAACTTAAAATTACTAACATGCCTCAATCACTTCGTTTTTTATACTCTTAGTTATGCGAGATGTAATGCAATCGTTTTAGATCGAGAAATGTAAAAGCTGAGCTCCTGAGCTTAGACGATGTTTTAAATAATATCTAGAAAGCAGATTACTCTATATTATATTTCTCATCCTATACTATTACATTCTACTAATTTCTCCATTTAACAAGGTTGCATGCATTCATTCTTTCTTCTTTTACCTTTTATAATTTCATGCTTTTTATACTCCATTGTGTTTTATTTTTGTTTGAGTTTGAAATTTGCTTTTTCAAATCAGGTAACTGCAGATTTCTGTTGTATTTTAATATTTAAATGACATCAGAATCTTTAGCTGGTATGCATTCCTGATCCTCCATTTAATATATTTTCGAATTCTTCAGCTTGTTCTTTAATCATCATAAGAACTCTTCTTTATCAATTGAAATTTCGAATGAAAACATCGAAATATTACAGGAATCGGGTAAAGGAAGCGATTGAGGAATTCGATTATTTTTCTCATTACGGAAAACATGGCTCATTATCGGGTGCAGCATTTCTTGTGCTTCTGGCAGCTTTCAAAAAGAATGACGAATTATTTCACAAAGGTCACAATTTTATGATTTTTTTCTCAATCTCTCGTTTTTCTACGCTTTTGATTTCTTTTATACGTGCTAAGCCTTTACTTTTTATCTAGTTTGGAATTATCTAGTGCCTCGGACTTTAAAATTGATAGAAAAATATGTATTATAATCAGTTATGCTACATATAATAAATTCTATTTAAGCAGTAGAAATCATCAATGGAAATATAGAAAGTCGTCTGCAACAAATCTGTATTTTGGGTTGCGTGTATCTCATTGAAGGATTTCATATACAATTCGTGGACTTTCTAAGGGTATTTTTCTTATTGGAATTTTATTCCTACTCTAATCTAATCGAATTTATCATTTTATTCATTTTTTTTTTTGTTTTGAAATGGCCTTTATGAATTCATTTATCCTTCAGAAACACGACTACAATATATCAACAGAAGACGTTGAATTCATATGTAATGTGGCGCGCAAATGTAAAGAGGTTGGTGAAGAACCTGTATTCTCTATTTTTTTCTCTGTGTTATGAATAGTTTTTCTCACTTTTATATTATTTCTGACTAAGAATGATAAGAGAATTTAGAAAACTGGTTTTGAACAAAACTTAATCTCGCACGTTTTGAATATTGAAAAGCAATACCAGCATTTTATATTCTTTTTAGCCTGCTATTTTGGAATCGTTTGTGAGTACTCATGAATTATTCAAATTGACTGATAAATCAAGAGCTCGAATATATGAAAGCTTGATCGAAATTCATGGTTTCCTTCCTTTCCATTTGCTATAAAATTCTCTTTATACTTCGATGAGATCACTAATTTTAATATAATTGCAAATGTGGTAAGAAGTGTATCTTGCTTTTTGCATCTTTTGTTGTATACGACCTATATCAGCACCAGCTGCAACAGACAGGCAAACTGACGCTGTCAAATCATGAGTTCCAGGAGTTTGAGAAATTTTTTTTGAAGAAAAAAAGTTTGAGAAAAAAATTGCAGTCGAAAGAAATTGATCAACCATGGAAGAACAGGCAGTCCGAGTAGTAAATAAGTGCTGGCATCCATTTCAACTGCAGAGACTAGGGACAACAATTTATCAAAAATTTTCTAAAATCCATGGCAATCTGTTGTTTTTCAGGAAAAGCCAACAATTTGACCGGCTTATTGAAAATATGGGAACGACTAGTTGCGGAGAAGAATTTGAATAATTTCCGAGTTGTGATACTAAAACTTGGCCACTTCTATAAATGCAATAATTTCTCAATTCCCACTGATATGCAGTATTATTTGAGACAGTACAGAGAATAATCAGTTAATAAAATTAAAAAATGCAATTTGCTTTTACAAACAATTATTGGAACGATTCAGTGCAGAAAAAAAATTTTTGTTGAGTAACAGGAAAATTACCGCTTTTTGAATATCAAATACAATTTGCTCGGAACTGACAAACACTGTACTCTCATCATCGCTAACTATGGTTGTTACACAGGACAAAGTGGACAATTGCACGTACACTATCCCCCCTTCCCACGCAATCCTTATAGCACCAACACCCCCTCCTTCCTCCAACTCACTCGACAGATTATTGTATCATATCGCAAATATCTTCTTCCCCTACATAGTCCGTGCATTTTCGCCATTTACGTGCATATTAGCAAATATGCATAAGAAATGCGATTCACGTGGTGTAATGCATGATGTGGTGTGGCTCATTTCTCCGAATGTTTTATTTAGGTCAGGTGAGATGTACTAATGGGATTTTTGGGATTATTTGCGATCAGTTTTTCTTGCTTTTATTACATCTATTGTAAGCATTAGTGTCTCAGATACTGTTAGTAGTTGGAATTTCAAGGTAAGGAGTGTGCAACAACGTAGACTGAAACCAATACGGAGCTAAAAATCTCCAATAATTCGGAAGTTACCGTTGACAGAATAGGTGCTCCCGACGTATCATGTCACTCTGTGTAAGTTATAATTTGCGTCATTTCTCATTTTTCTAAATAGAAAATTATTGTTTGTTTCTTTCTTGGAAGATCAGAACTAAGCATGTGGCAGCAACTGCAATTATTTTGTTGCTGTATGTAATTATCTCCTCGAATTTTACGCGATGAATAATGCAAAATCACTTTTAATATAATTATTAAATTAACAAAATATAATTATTTGTTTGAACTTCACTAAATATAAGTTGGAATAAGCTGAAAATTCATCTCTCTAAGATTATGTGCAGAAACGACCAGATGTTCCAATTCAGGATCAACTTCGACATTAATAATAAGCTGACGGTATCAGCATTACATTATTAATTCAGATAAATGAATAAGGTCTTTCCGTTTCAATATTCGGTTGCGAATCATGCCGTGGAAGATTTCGGCAAGATTCATTAAACCAAAAAGCAGCAATTCATATGAACTTTAAGAACAGAGGTTGTGGTGTCTAGTATTTCTGATGTTCTGCCCATGTTTTATTCATCTTTGTGCGGTATATCCTAGGTGAAAGTTGACATCATATCTAAATTAGAATCCAAATTAATTCAAATTTTAATCATGATGTTGAAGAATAATACATTGCTGGATTATGAGTCAAAACAAGGAGTTATGTTCTTATTCGATGATAATATTGGATCGCACATATCTATAACTGATAAAGTATTCCAGTTCGTGTTCAATTATCTTTCAGGTAATCTTTTTAATTTCTCTGGGAGATATTTCATCTTTTTGTATTTTATGCACCTATACTAAATTTCCAAAAAAATTCTACATTTTTCATATTCATGCAACAATTTTTCTGTATGCCGTGTTTCGAATTTGTATGAAGTTATAATGAAATCCAGCTAGTTCTCAAATAAAAATATCATTGTATTTGAAATTTTAGTGTATGAATTAAATCATATCAGCCGTACATGTCACGCTCTTAACAATGCAGTTTACAAGTATGTGTTAATTAATGCGTCAAAAAGATTTGCATGTGAAGTATTGAAAAATAAAGACATATTGGACAAGACACGAAGCAACAGCTACGCTTGGGGTATTTTTTTAATTTTTCATAAAGAAGATTAGTAATAACTGATAGAAGAGACCGATTCATTAGATTGTGAACTGCAGCATGTCTGTTTCACATTATATTACCTTTGAAAAGACCAAAATTAACAATTACTAGTTGTTAAGAGAGTTCTACATTTGAACCATTCAGCTTTAATATCACACACTGTATTAATTAATGAAATAAATCAATTAGTGAAAGTACAGATAGTGTTGAAGTGAAGTTAATTTTTCGTTTATGCTTCTTTTATTCTTTTAGAAAAAAGAAATAAAAAAAGCAGAAACGAGAATTGTGTTCTTCCTTGACTATATTTTCTCTATCCTTCCGGTTTCTAGAGGACTTTTTACTGTTTTTCTTCTTCAGACTTTACTTTGATTACCTGACCCTTCCTCATGAGGTTAGTGTTATTGGTGCTAGTTAATACACATACTCAGTCAGATGAACTTCAGGAGAAAGGCTTCATTTTTAGGAAACTTGTTGAAGATGTGTACAGTTTTTTGGCCTGCGCGAAGAAGAAGAACTTTTATGAGTCACTTTTATTTGAAGGTGCGCTTTTGTTATCAAATGTCTATTTATTTTTTTAAATGCTAAGAATATTTTAAATTAATTGAGTGAAAATGACTGCACACTGATTCTCATTTTTCAGAATAAATCAGTCTACAACAATTACACAATTTGGGGGCAATGCTTTTCTGGAGTAAGAATTTTATGATCTTATCATATGTCATGATTTGAATGTATTTAATGTTTGCAAAAATTTTTTCAGAATTTTTGAACATTTTTTTATCGTCTCCATTTGCAGTTCTGTGCAAACTGGGATTATCAGGCGTGCAGCGAATTTTTAGATTCCGTTATACATTTCACCGATTCAACGCGACTGCTTATTGCCGTAATGTCTGGTAAAGTTGGCAAGAACTATCAACTTGAAATAGAAGTAAATTATGCTTCTTATTCTTCTATTTATCATGTTGCTGACAGCAGTCATCGTTTTATTTATCTAAAGTGAAAGGACATTTTCAAATCCATATAAATTCTTGCATAAAAAGTATTGAGTCATTTTTATCATGATCATACACACGAAATATTTCGAGGTACGGCGACGTTTCCGTGGTTTCTTCATTGATCAACTAACAGAATCGGAATCAAAGCAAGGATTTTGGCTTTCTGCGCTTCTGCGAACTCAGAAAAGTGTCGCAGAACAGGGACGATTGTTCATGCTTTTATTTGGCCCTATAAAATATGTTCGTGGCCAGGGTTTGTTATAGAGTCAATTCAAATTGACTTTATTGAGTCACAAATGTTGAAAGTAATTAGTTCAGGGGAAATTTTTTTAAAAAATATTTTTTGTTACTCGCTGAAGTTTTGCGGTTGAGAGAAAAGTGGAAAGAATTTTACAACAATATCAGTGACCATTTTCTATAATTAGCAAGTTATGGAATTAAAAACTTATGTTTCACATACACTTTAAATTTAATCTAATCGAACTCTAAATCTTTTTGCTTAAAGCTTAAAACTTGGTTTAATTATAGTACATTTGTTTTGGAAGCAACATAGGAAAGTGAAGCGCATTAACATATAGGAAATGAAATTAATTCAGAGCGAATTGATTGGTACTTGATGTCAAAGAAAATTTTCACCAGAAATCAGTGCGCTCAAATTATCAAACCATTGTCATCAAATCTTTATTGCCTTTCGAAAACAAGAGAATTGAAGTCGATGTTTTCCTGGAGCGATTCTGAAATTTTCACTTTAATAGAAGAAATAACAAGTATGTGTCAATAGATGGACTTTTGAGAGTATCGTTTTGAGAGTAT